CTCTGCACATGCTGCTCAAGGGTTTGTTTTTCTAATTTTCATCATTCTTTTTGTACGTGATACCTGTTCCTAAAAATGGCCCAGTCACGCATCCCGTGGCTCCCCGCGCTGCCCTCCAGGGCGCCCTGTGCAGCGCGCGCGTCTGCGGCACCCAGTTTGTTCCTAAGTTTTCTGTCTGGGGATGTGGCCGTTGCACAGACATGAGGTTGTCACCCGTCCTGCCTCCCCCAGTGGCCAGTGACTGTGCTTCTTGGGCTTGTGCTTTTCACGAGGCCTTATGAAGCTAATGGCTCTGACGCAAAACTCTGGGGGTGTTGTGACAGCAGACTGTTGGCGGCACAGGGAAGGCATGGGTGAGGGCTGGACCCGTGCAGCCGTGGTTGGTGCCCATCTGAAATGAAGGTGGCGAGGTTGTCGTTAGGTAGTGAGGCTAAAATTTGAGCAAAATGATTAAATTGTTCCCAAGATGGGGTGGGAGGCCCGTTTCCCTGCAGAGCTGCGCATCCGCTCAGTGCCCAGGAGGCTTCGTGTGCAGGGAGGGGGCTCCTGGCTGCCTCCCCCCACCGGGACGGGCACCCCAGAGGGAAGCCCCACAGGTGGGCAGGGCTCTGAGTGGATTCTTGAATCCAGCAGAGAAGAGCGCAGGGCCGCTGACCAGGGGTCCAGACTCCTGGATTTGGAGTTGGGAGGTCACCGTGGGCTTCCAGAGGCACAAGGTCCTGCTTACCTTGGTGCTGTGCTCGGCCCAGTGGGTTTGCAGAAGCCCCAGCTCTTGCCCGTGGCTGGCCAGTGGTCACCCGTCCAGGCCGGCGAGTGCCTGAGCTCCGCCAGCGGGGGGCTGGTCCTTGTCTTTGAGGACCTTCCCCCAGAGGCACTTGGGCCCCTGTGCGAGGGATTTTGCATCTTCTGTTTCAGTTGGATCAAAAGCTCAGTACTGGAAGTAGAATTAGGTTGGAGGATGCCTGGCACGAGCGTGTTCTGGGGCACAGCCCACTTGGCCAGCTCCAGCCGTGGGATTTGGGTTCACACCCCAGGCTAAGCCTCGAGGCGGGAAACGCCTGGTGCCGTTGGGATGCCGATGGACCAGAACATCCCTGGGCTCCGTTTGGTCAGCATCCGAGGAACAGCTCGGGCGAGGACATCCTCTCTCGGTGAGGCACACACCGCAACAGTCCAGCCAGGGCCTGCCCGAGCCGCCCCCTGCCCGCTCCATTCCCAGAGCCCCAGTGTGGGGGCAGAGCCGGGTTCCCGGGCCTGGCTGTTGGGAGAGGACACAGATGGTGGCGGCCGGCGGGCCTGGGAGGCCACTTGCCGGAAGCGCCTTCCCGACAGGGCTCGGCTGGCACCGCCGCTGGCCCCCTCGCCCTCTTCCTCGGGGTTCTGACTCCACCTGGAGATCCTGCTTCTGTTCTCGGTGTTCCGAGGCTGTCCCTTCCCAGGTTTGTCTCCATCACGTGCGCTGGGTGATGTTTGTGGGCAACCAGGCTGAGGTGTGTCACTTCCGACCCTGGGAAGGGAAGCATTTCTGTCCCTGGGGGAGCGAGAGCCTGGCCAGTCCTCGGCAGAGGCCTGGGCCCTGGGCTGGGAGGGGACATGGGGGCATGGGCTCCACTGTTAAACCTCCGAGGGAGCGTCTGACCCCGTATGTGGGTTCTGTCGGCGCCTCACCCCTGCCCTGGAATCGGCCCATCCGTCTCCTCACTGGTCTGGCCCCAGCCTCTGTCCTCAGCCACCTGCCTTCACAGGGGGCATCTCTGCTTTGACCCCAGGTTCCCAGCGTGGGCTCTGCGCACCGGGCCCTGCTCTGTGCTAGCCTGGCCCCCTCTTGCCCCCCTCCCGGGCCCTCCTTGTCCGAGGGGAAGCAGAGCCGCATCCTCGCCGGATCCCCCCACACGGCTGGGCTGGGGCAGCAGGAGGAATGATGTGCTTGCGCTCCGAGGGCTCGGGAAGGCGTTGCCTTGGGCGCCCAGAAGTCCCGTCCGCCAGACGCAGTGTCGGGCCCGTATCTCTCAGCATCACTGTTGAGACAGAAGCGTTCAGCTGAACCTGTTTTCCATGCTGAGCACACGTATGTAGGATGAACTCGTGGTTGGGGGCTAAACCTCAAATCTGAGAAGTTGCCTTGAACTAGAACAGACTGGAGCCCTCGGGCACCCGGGTCAAAGCAGGTTCTGCCATCCCGGACGGGCAGCCTCCAGGCCCAGGTCCTGGCTCAAGGCCGGTCTGTGGTCCCTTTGGGTGCATCTCAAACCCTCCAGTATGTTTGCCTTTTGACCTTGAACTTTGGACACAAGCCCTCTGTGCCTGCTGTGTTCCCCTCAGGACAGTCCCTGGGCCCATCCTGAATCTGAGTGCCCCCCGTGGGGTCGCTCCAGCCGGCTTGCCGGTGCTCATGTAGCAGTTTCGAGAGCACGTGCTCTCCTCTGACAGGGTCTGCATCGTTTCATGGGTAGGACCCCAGAGTGTTTCAGAACGATCCTTTGTTGTCGTGCTTCCTGTGGCAGCAGACAGAACCTCTCGTCTTTCTGGGGCCCCCACCCTTGAGGAGCTGCGGATCTGCACCGCAGAGGAGGTGCCCACGCCGCCCTTCATCTGTCCCAGGTGAGAGGGGGAGACCTGCCCTCTGAAGGTGCAGTGGCTCCAGGCGTGAGCTGGGGTGCACAGCCACAGCCCAGGAGACGTGGTGCAGGGTCAGGGGCCCAGACTCCGCGTTCTCTGCCTGCACCCACCGCGGCCTCCGTCCACCTGGGTTGGGCTCTTGAGCTAGCTTTCCTCGCCTGGGGGGTTTATTTCTGACAAGCGTGTGAGCTCAAAGGGAGGCCCCAGCCAGCTCTCCCTCCCTCAAGGAGGCTTCCTGCCTCGGCAGGTCGGCTGGCCCTTAACCCACTGTGGTCAGCCAGGCCTGCCGCTGCCTTTGGGCCCAAGGTCGCTGTTGGCTGGGGTAGCACCCATGTAGGGTGGGAGTGGTTCTAGGGACCTAACGTGCCCTTCCCACCTGGCAGGGCCCCAGGGGGTGGTCCTGGCTGCCCGGCTCCCTTGCAGCTCTGGTCCACGGGCTTGGCCTTGATGGGTTAGGTGCAGATGCCTCGAGTGGCCGGGGCCCTGCTGCCTTGGCCCCTGCAGGTCGTGGCTCAGCTAGGAGTGCTCGGCCCCTCAGTCTGCAGCATCCCAACCTCCGTGGGGTGAGCACGCTCCCTGCCTCCCTCCCTCCCTCCGTGCACAGAGCGTGGGCCTTCCCTCAGAAGCCAGATCCTAATGAAGGCTTTGTCTTGTTGGCAGACAGCTGTCGCCATCTTGATCCCCACTTTTCCTGTCTCACCCTGGTGTGAGGCGGGAGTTCAGGCAGGTCCCTGGGAATCCAGTGTTTCATCCTCAAGGACCCACACCCACACCCAGCATGCGCTGTCCTTGGTCCTGCCTGGCATGGCCTGGGCGCTGTGTATCTGGGATTTGCCAGAAAATAGACTCAAAAGGTCCCTGTTACTCCTTCCTTGTTACACTGATGAAGGTGAGGCTTTGATCTCTGAACTAGGCCTTTTGTCCTCAGTTATGTGCAGCTGACTTTCATCTGTTACATCATCTATATGCATAATTGAGGGTCAAGGAAAGAAGGAAGGGGCTTTGCAAGACTGCTGGGGACCCTGAGGAGCCCCCAGAGCACCTGGTGGCCTCCCCTCTGAGGGAGCCGTCACCGTGAGCCTTGGTGTCACCTGAAGCCGGGCTGTCTGGGTGGCTGGTCTTGGAGCCACTGTGGGAGTGCAGGGAGCCTCCACCACCAGCCCTGCACCACGTGGGGCCTCCTGGCCCGTGTCTTTCTGCCGGATGCAGATGCCAGGTGTCCGAAGGACCAGGTTCTGGGGAGGAAGACCTAGGTGTAGCAGCGCAGCCGCTGTGGGCAGCCAGGAGGCGGCAGGGCCAGCGTGAGGTGGCCGTGGTTATTACGCTTGTCTAAAAACTGGCAAGAACCAAAAACGCCCCACAGCTAACAGTCAAGTGTCTCTTCAAGTGAAAAACTCTTAATTAAATGTATTTTAAAAGCCGTTTTCACCATCCAAGAAGGTAGGAAATGTATTTTGAGTAATACGAGCTTATTGAAATAAACTCTCATAACTTAAAATCTGGGAAAGACAGTAAATGTATCCCTCAGAGTTCCTAAATCAGCTCGTCTGTGTCCCTGAGTAGAGTGGGCAACATGCTTGTTTCAAACTATCCAGAATGACCCTTAGAGACCACGGGCTTCGTCTTTGGGGCAGTGAGCCCTCTCCTGGGGCCGAGGACACAGCCATCGGGGTTGGGGGTGGGTGCAGGGTCCTGTCTGGAGGGTCCCAGAGGAGGCACTTCCAGCTCAGGGCCACCTGCTTGGCACAGACTTTGACTGCGGGACCTGTGTGGCCCATCCGAGCTCTGAGGGACTCGGCCCTTCCAGGTCCTGGGCCTGGGCTCCCTTCACTCTGCCCTCAGTTCACCCAAGGCTTCTCCCTCCTGGGCACTCTTCGTGTCCTTTCTTGGGTGGGCTTCCAGATTTTCTCACTGCCATGCTGAGCCAGGCTTGGGATTGGGTTTCCAGGTTAGCTTTGTCTTTGCCGAAGGGCTTGGGTTCAGCATGAGCGTTTGCCAAGACTGCAGGACGAAAAAGGCCATCAGTGACTTCCTGGCGGCCCAATGGTTAAGACTGAGCTTCCACTGCAGGGGATGCAGCTTCCATCCCTGGTCGGGGAAACACGGACCTGGGAGAAGGCTGCAGACACTAGGTCTGCTTTCTGGAGAGGCGTGGGTCCAAGGGCAGCCAGTAGGCTGGGCTGGGGGCGAGCACCCTCACCTGACTTGTCTCCTGCGGGATGGGGGATCGCGGCCCAGCCTGCCCCCACGTGCCTCCGTGCCTCTGTCGTCCTGAGGCTCCTGCTGGGGCGGGTGGGGGGGCGGTGGGTGGCTGCACCTACGCGGACGCTGGGGGAGGGGCGCGGGGCCTTTATCCAGAGTTCCTTAACTCGGGCACTCAGCTACACGCAGAATGGCATTTTACACATGCTGGACAGAAATAAGAGGATCAAGCCCCGGCCAGAAAGGTTCCAGAACTGCAAAGATCTGTTTGATCTGATCCTCACCTGTGAAGAGCGGGTGTACGACCAGGTGGTGGAAGGTAAGCGCAGCAGCTGCAGCATCAGGCCCTGCGCCATGCCCTCTGTCCTGCTGTGCGTCCAGCGCCTCTGAGGCAGCCGGGCCGTCCTGTGCACGGTGTCTGTTCCTGGCCCAGGGCTGGAGAAGGGTTCCTGGTGCGTCTGTGGGCTCCAGCAGGCAGGGGAAATCGGGCAAGGCCACAGAGAGGTGGACAGAGGGCCCCTGACCTGTGTGGGCCCTGGGAGGGGGGTGGGGGCAGGAGATGGTGGCCTTTGGGCTGATCGTGTTCACCAGGGCAAAACCACCTGTGCTGGCCAACAGCTTAGTGCGGGTTTAGGGCCTTTGTGGCACAGAAAGAGCACGTGTGGTGCAGAGGGACCGGGGCCTGGTGCTTTGTAAGTGAGGGTGCTGTCAGCTGCTGTCCCGCGCTGCGGGACAGGCTGGAGTTTGCGAGTGTTACCAGGTGGCCTGGGGGCCAGCTTCATAAGCGCGAGCTTTCCTGCGGTCCCAGCCGTATTTGGCGTGAGGGTCCTCCCCGGGTGGCAGGTTGGGGGGAGTGCTCGGCCTGGTTAGATGCTCTGATGTTGGTCCTTAACTGCATCCCCGAAGGAAGGCTGGGCAGCGCACAGCCTCCTGCGCTCTGTTCTGAGGCCTCTGACTTCCGTCCTCTTGTCACGGTCAGATCTGAATTCTAGGGAGCAGGAGACCTGCCAGCCTGTGCATGTGATCAACGTGGACATCCAGGACAACCACGAGGAGGCCACCCTGGGGGCGTTCCTCATCTGTGAGCTCTGCCAGTGCGTGAGTATCAGGCCCTGGGCGGGCCTGCGTCGTGCACACAAGGGCTTTAGCATGAACGTGACGAGCACACCACTCGGTTCACGGTCCACTTATTGCCAAACGTTAAAACCCATAAATGCAGAGGTGCCCACAGGTGAGAGTCACCGAGTCAGCTTTGGCTGAAGAATCCACCTTTGAGCGTTTTAGGTTGATTGCAGTGGTGAGTGACCTGCCCGGGTCTGGCTTCTGTGGAGATGGCTCCCAGGACTTAGGCCCCCTGCCAAGACCTCAAACAGCTAGAGGAGCCCGGGAGCCCCCAGAGATGGCATCAAAGGGCTCTGGTCCTCTTCTGCCCCTGCACTTCTCATTCCAGACGTCCAGCCCTCCCCGAGTGGCCCTGGGCATCTTCCCTTGTGCAGGAAACCCCAGGAGCTTTTGCAGCCACCGTGCAGCTGTGCTCAGAGCCAAACATTTCCTGTTAGATGTGGCAAAAGGACCTATGCAACTCATATGTCTTGTCATATCTTTGGCCTGTGGCTTCTGCATTTAGGCCAACTAACTGTGAGTGATAGAAAAATGAAGAAAACGAGGCTTAACCAAGAAGTCTGGAGACAGACAGGCCTGGACGGGTTTGCTGTGTGAGGGGCCCAGGCCCCTGCTCTCTTGTTACTTTGCCCAGCACAGCTTCTGTTCCCAAGGGGTCTCATGGTCCACGGTGGCTGCTGAAGCTCCAGCAATTGTTCCCATGATCTGGCTATCATGCAAAAGACAGGGCTGAAGGGGATGACACGTCCCAGAAATAGCACACGTGACACCCACTTGGGTCTGGCTGGCGAGAGCTTGCAAAGGAGAGGCACTGCTCACAGGCCGAGACTGGGGGCAGCGAGGTGCCTCGGCCGCAGGCCAGCCCCTGCCAGGACAGGCGGGCTGAGGATCTGGCCCCGGACCACCCTGGGGCTGTCCCCTGGCAGGGCCACCTCCTTCCAGGGCAGTGGTTCTCCGCCAGGGGACATCTAACCGCACACACGGTGGGCCTCACAGCCGGGAGAGACGCTAGTGGCAGCTGGCGGGTGGGGGCCACAGGCGCTGCTCAGCCCGCTACAGTGCACGGGATGGCCCCTGGGCTTCCTCGCTGGCTGACCGGGCCCGCGGCGGTACCGTCTGGGTCGGGTCTGCTCATTTTCAGGGTGGGGGCAGTGCAGGCGGCGAGCGTCTGAAGTGCGCGAACGTGTGGCACACGAGGCCACCCGCCCTGCTGCAGCCGCTCCGTGTCCCGTCCCTGTCGGGCCCGCCTCGGCCCTGCCCCGCGCGCACGGGCAGCACCGGGCCGGGCCGGGGCCGCCTGCTGGGCGCGGGCGGCTCAGGGCGGCTCTCCCCTGGCTCCAGATCCAGCACACGGAGGACATGGAGAACGAGATCGACGAGCTGCTGCAGGAGTTCGAGGAGAAGAGCGGCAGGGCCTTCCTGCACACCGTCTGCTTCTACTGACGGCCCGGCCGGCCCGCGGGCTCCCTCTTGTTAATACTCCTTCCCTCCTGATGTTTGTTTCTACCTTTAGGCGTCCTGCCGATGGACGGCGGCGGTGCCCAAATAAACTGTACATATGAAATGAGAAGATATACACAAATGCCAGGTTACAATCAAGTTTTTCCCATCCCACTTTTACTTATGAGTGGGATATTGATTATAGTTTTTTTCCTTTAACCAAAAAAGAAAAAAACGGTTGATAGCACATTTCCCCCCAGCCATCTGCCTCTCACTGAGCACCCCTTTCCTGCCTCCCCTAACTGGCTGCAATGTACAAATCCCTGAATAAAGCAACAGGCTGTACTTTTTGGGAAAGAACCTGCCATTGTCTCATCAGTGCATGTTGCTGGTCGTCCTGGCTTCATCCAGAGTACCCTGCCTGGCCTGGACCTCCCGTCAGGGTCCTCAGACGGCAGTCCGGGCCTGTGGGTCAAGCTGAGCTCTCTAGCACCACCCCGAGGGCCTCCCGTCCACTGGGACTCTGGAGGGGATGTGGCACCTGCTCCCTGGGCGGGGACCGCTCTTGCCTGGTGACCCCTCCTGGTCTCCGCGGCACAGAGGTGTTCCGGGGACTCCTCTGTGGGCGGTGCTGTCCCCCGGCCTGTGGATGATGGGCTGGCTCAGTGACCCCTCCCCAGCCCCCAGCAACATGGGGCAACCACATCAGGGCTACGACGCGGGCCTCTGAGCTTCGTGGCCCACCCCTGGGGAGAGCCGGGGCTGAGGCTGGCCCTGCCCCCGCAGTAGGGGATCCTTTAGCCTTTGTTGGGCCCCATCCTTGTGCCATGTGGCCATGGCTCCCGAGTGACCTTCCTGCCAGCGACCCTGCGGGCCCTCCACTAAAGGCAGCCTCTTGCCGGAGGAGGCTGGGTGCTGACCAGTCTGCCCGCAGCCCCTCACCCGGCGACCCCGGGCGGGCGGGCGCGGGGGAGGGGCCTCCAGCTGAAGTGGGGAGGAGGAAAGCGGAAGGAAGCCCGGGGCCTCTCCGGGGTCGCCCCGGCGGGTCGGGACGGGACGTGGCCCGTGGTCCGGGGGCGCTGGGCAGGCAGCCAGGGCCGGCACTGGCCAGATGGGGGCGAGCGGGCCCTGCGGCCCCCGGGGAGGGGTCCGGCCGGCGTCGCGGGGGCGAGCGGCCGCGGGCGGCGAGGTCCCTCCCGGGAGGCGGGCGCGGGGGAGGCCGCGGGGGGAGGGGGCCGGAGCCGCGCCGCGCGCAGAGCGGGAGGCAGAGCCGAGGGCGGAGCGGAGCGCGGCGGGCGCGGCGAGCGCGCGGGCCGGGCGGCCGAGGACCCCGGGAGCGCCGCGTCCCCTGCCCCGCGCCGGCCCCGCGCCTCCTCCCCGGCCGGCGGCGGTGGGTGCGCGGCGGGCTGACCTCTGCAGAGGCGGCGGGGGCTCAGCATCGGGCCGGGGCCGGGGGGGCGCCGGGGCCGGGGGGCGGCGCTCCGGCCCGGCCCGGCCCCGCCCGATGTCCATGAGCGCCAACACCATGATCTTCATGATTCTGGGGGCGTCGATCGTGATGGTGAGCGGAGGGGCTTCCCGCGCGCCCGCTCCCCGCACCCGCTCCCGCCTCCGCGCCCGCGCGCCGCCTCCCCCTCCCGCGCCTTGTTTACCGGCCCGGGCGGCCTGCGCTCCCCCATCCCCAGCGCGTCGGCCCCCGCCGGGGGGCGCCGGCCCAGCCTCTCGCTCCTCGGCGCTGACCGGTCATGGGCTCTTCCAGGCCATCGCGTGCTTGATGGACATGAACGCGCTGCTGGACCGATTCCACAACTACATTCTCCCGCACCTGCGGGGCGAGGACCGCGTCTGCCACTGCAACTGTGGCCGGTGAGTCTGCGCCCAGAGGGGCACACGCGTGATCACACATGCGGGGTGGAGGTGGGGCCCACTGGGGCTCCAGCGAGCCCCATGCAGGCCGGGCTGCAAGGCCCAGCTGGGCCAGGCCGGTGGGGGCTGCCGAGGCTGGCGCCAGGCCGGGTGGGGGAAGGACCGGCCAGCTTCCGCGGCACAGAGGTGTTCCGGGAGTGGGGAGCATGCCCGAGGCAGTAGGACCCCCTCCCAAATTGCCTTTAGAGAAAGGGCCCGCGGGTGATGGGCAGAACGGGTCCAGGGCCTCCTGGACCGGGCCGTGGAGGCCAGGAGAGCAGCAGCCCAGCCTGGTGTCCCGGGAGGGATCCTGCGCACGGCTGTGCCCACAGAGGACACCATCCTCCTCCCTGGGCCCTGAGCTGTGTCCATGAAATTTCCTGGGAGCCAGCTAGGGGGAAGAGCAGAAGGTCAAGGTGGGCAGGGCCTACCTTGAGGGGCATCTGGCCCAACCCCCTCGCTGTCCACGGGAGGAACTGAGGCTGGGGGTGGAGTCTGCTCAAGGTCACACAGAGAGAGGGGAGAGCCCAGGTCCCTACACCCACTTTGTGACCCCCCCCCCCCATTCTGTGCACATGTAGTGGAGTCTTCCTGGCCATGCATGTTTGTATGTCCATATACGAAATAAACATCTTCTCATGAGACGCGCATGTGTGTACCGTCTGTGCATATACATGTGCGCACACGCAGCAGCCCCTCAGCCCCACGCACGCTGGGGCCCCGAGAGAGCGGACAGAGGCTGAGCAGACAGACTTGCCCAGGGCCGTGCGGCCGGCAGGGAACTTGTGTTCTTGACCGTGCCCTGTACTGCTGCTCCAGGGACGCGTGCATACGTACTGGGCGAGGGGTGTGTGAGAGACAGGACAGTTTCATGCCCCACTAAGCATGCTACATGCCTGTGTGTGCAGAGCGGGTGTCGAAGCAGAACATGGGCAGCAGGGCAGATGGAGATGGGCGTGTAAACGGCCCTCTCGAGTCCTGGCCAAGAGTCATCCAGTGTGCTGGCTGGGTGGCCACACCCTCGCGGAGATCCCTGTGTTCCTGCCTGGTGCACACGGCCCGAGGCCAAGGAGCGGCAGGAGGTCAGCTCCACGCTTCCTGGGCCGACCCAGACTGGGGGTGTGAGCGGGGGTCCTGAGACCCTCCCAGAGACCAGAGGTGTGCCCGCCACCGGCCCAGGCTTCAGCTCCCTAAACATTAGTAAGGCCCATTTTCCGTGCAGAGCTGTTGCAGTGTGACCTGCACATATGTGCCTAAGACCTCACACTGAGGCCCTTCTGGGCAGACAGGGTGTGTTTTCAGAGTGTATTTGTTCCGGGTATGCGTATGGGTCACATGTAGTGTCCAGAGTACACGTGGATTGTGTAAAACAAGTGCCCATGGAGTGCAAGCCACAGCGAGGCCTGAGTGCACAGCTTAGACACAGACAACACGAGAGCCACGCCTGCTGTAGGCGTACAGTGTTTCCGTGTGTGTATGTGTCCATGTATGTGTGCTTTGTACACATCACTACATACAGGATCTGTAAATTCTGTGTACAGAGTGTTCTTGTATATTGACAACATGCATGCGTATGCGCAGTACGTGTGTGTAACACAATATACAACACCCATGTGCGCCCTGTGGGCACAGTGAATGTCTGCAGGGGACAGTCTGGCATATCAGGCCTCTGTGTACAAACCACATACACATGTTGCCACAATGGACTCTACTTGTGTGTACACCCCGTTTGCAGAGAAGGCGCACACACACTTGTGTGCCTTCTACGTGCCAATACGGAGAATTTTATACAGAGGACACGTGTGTGAATGCTGTGAAGCGTGCGTGCCAGCAGGCTGTGTCTGTGGGTGCACACCCGTGCATATGCCACGGTGCCCACAGAGAGGATGGCTGTGCGCAAAGCCCAGTGCATGTGCATCTCCATGTGACACGCACCATGCTCGTGCCCGGGCGAGCGTGCACATGCACACATGTGGAGCTCATGGGTCCGAGTCCATGGTATACACGCCATGTCCTGTGCATGTGGCCGGCGTGTATACACAACATGCGTCCAACCTCAGGTAGACACATGCAACATGCGTGGCCCAGGCAGGACACATGTATGTACACATCACGGAAATACGTGTGCACGTGGGTGACCTGCGCCCCCACCTGCCCCCCACCCCCACCCCGGGGCCTGCCTGACTTGGAGGAAGGAGGAGGGCAAGGAGCAGGGGGAGAGCGGCAGATGCTAGGACAGCGATGGGGGCACAGGTCATGACCTTTGACCCCCTGGAGGTCCCACCCCACCCCCACCCCCGGGGCGGTGGGGGCCCTGGCCTTGTCCTACTTGCAGGGGCGTTTCTGGCTTCCTCGGTGACTCCATCTTCAAGTTTCCTGCCCTGTCCAGGGGTAGGAAGTCGTGGTCCCGAGAAGACCCTCCCTGTTGGGGTCCGGAAGGCAGGAGGGCAGGAGGCGGCGGCGGCAACGCTCAGTGTTATCAGCTGCCGGGAGGCCTGGCCTGGCCAGGGTGACGAAGGGCGTCCTCTGCTGCTACGCATTCCGGGCGCTCATCAATGGTTCTCCATCTCTTATTGATGATTGATAAGGGCCATTGGCCAACTGTGACCACATGAGCTACGGCCGCCGCCCTGTGTCAGGCAGTCCTCTCCAACTAACCCGGGTGTGGTGGCCCCTGCTCAAGGGGCTGTGGTGGCTGAGGCCCCACCTACTCCGGACAAGCTGAGCCGATGGGCTCCAGGAGTCCCCAGGGGAGCGGGAGGGGGGTAAGATGGGGCCTGCCCGCTGCTGTCTCCACGGGGTGGAAGGCACTGTGTGGCCCCCACTGGCACAGGGATGTCGGTGATGGACGGGCAACAGGGGCCTGGGGTCAGGGATATCCTGGGGGGTTTCCGTTTGTGAGGAGGTCCCTGTGGGTCGGGGGGCGGCTCATGTCCAGTTGCAAGGTGGGGGGCGGGGACCCATCTCAGCTGGAGACCAGGCAGAGGTGTCGATATGTAACCGAGGGAAGACGGGAAGAAGCGGATTAGGGAGGGAGGAGCTATTTTTAGGTGCAAATTTGAGGTGTCTGTAGATCCCACGTGGAGACGCCACGCGGGCAGCTGGAGCTCAGAGCAGACGTGGGGTGCCGCAGGGACGTGCTGCGGGTGGAGAGTTAGAGAAGCCAGCTGAGGGGCTCGGTAGGAGGGGAGCCAGGCAGGCGCACCCCAAGGTGGCTCCTGCACTTAGGGGAAGGAGGGGCCCCAGGGTGACTGGGGGCTCAGGGTGCACGGACCCCACACGCCTCGGGCACCCAGGGCCTGCAGCTCCCTCTCCCCGGCCCTCCTGTCGGTGGGGGGCGGGGCGTGGAGCCCAGAGTCTGTTGCCCTGGGTACTGGTCTCTGGGCAGGGCCACCCCACCCGGGATGGTGGGGCCCAAAGGGCTTCCTGGAGGAAGAGAGGATCCAGGCAGGCCTGAGGCTAGAGGGAGCCTTGTGGGGAGGGTTCAGTGTGGCCTCCGCCTGGATTGTCAAGGGAGGGGAGGCTGAGGGGGACGGCTCAGGCCTCAGTGGGTGCTAGGATGCAGGGGACAGACCGTGGTCCAGGGTCCGTCCCAGGAGCCGGGATCTGTGTGGGGCACGGTTAAGGGGGTGCCCCCGGGCTTCAAGCACAGAGAACTGGGGCAGGGGAGGTTCCTGCAAGGGACAGAGGGGCAAAAGGAAGACCAGAGTCCCAAGGCAGGGCTCATCCCACGCGGCTCTCCTTGGAGGGGTAGCTGAGGAAAGGGCAGAGTGACTGAAGGGTGGGAGGGAGAGGCCAGAGGAGCAGTGCCCCAGGAGCCAGTGGGGGCCTCTGGGCACAGGCCCACGGGCGGGCTGTGACCCTGTCACTGGGCGGGGGCGCCCCGCCTGGGCCCTCGCCCCGGTACGCTTTCTCCACCTGCGCTGTGCTCCTGTCATCGTGTCAGGGTTGCCTCTGAGCCCCGGGCTGGGCAGAGGAGGGAGGAGGGTGATGCGTGGAGGCCAGCCACTGGACTTCACGCTGACCTCTGACCTCGCACACTCGCATCCTGCGGGCAGCCTCCCACCTGGTGACCTGGGTCCCGGGCGAGTGCGCTGGCCCCTCCCGACCTCAGCCCCCCACGAGGTCTGCTTCAGAGAGCCCTGCAGGCAAACGGGTGCAGCTTGCCGCGGGGTCCCGCGCGGCCCGCGGGACAGGTGCCAGCCCGCCCTGCCGCCCCCAGGCACCACGTCCACTACGTGATCCCGTACGACGGGGACCAGGCTGTGGTGGACGCCTCCGAGAACTATTTCGTGACGGACAACGTCACCAAGCAGGAGATCGACCTCATGCTGGGGCTGCTGCTCGGCTTCTGCATCAGCTGGTTCCTGGTGTGGGTGGACGGCGTCCTGCACTGCGCCGTGCGCGCCTGGAGGGCTGGCCGGCGCTACGGTGAGTGCGCGGCGCGGGGGCCCCGGGGACAGCCTCGTCCGCGCCGGGGCCCCGCCCTCCCCACGCCCACGCCATGCCCACTCCAGGCCCCGCCCACCAGCCCCCGCCCTGACCGCGCCCCCCGCCCCGCAGACGGCTCGTGGACCTGGCTGCCCAAGCTGTGCAGCCTGCGGGAGCTGGGCCGGCGGCCACACAGGCCATTCGAGGAGGCGGCCGGGAACATGGTGCACGTGAAGCAGAAACTCTACCACAACGGTCACCCGAGCCCGCGGCACCTCTGAGCCGCGCGCAGGACTCGCGGGGCCGCCGGCCACCGCGCCCACGCTCACGGGACTGGACGGCCGGCCCGGGCCAGGGCGCCCGCGGCCGTCGGGCGCGTCCGGCGGAAGGTGCTGTCTCCTCTTCTTTTTATAAAGGGGGTCGGGGTGGGGCCGGGGCGGGGGCGCGGGGACGGCGGCACCGGGGGCGCGGGTGGAACCGCCCGCCCAGCCCAGGACCACGTCCGCTGCTGGAAACCGGCGGCTTCCTGTGCGCCCGCGTCTGTCTTTCCGTCCGTCCGTCTGGTTTCCGGAGCCGGAGCCAGTTCTGCCGGAGGGGAGCACGGCCGGGAGCCTGGTGCACCCACGTCTGCACACGGGAGCACGTGCATGAGGCGTTGTGCGTCCGCGGCCCGCAGTGGGGGCGCGGGCAGGGGTCCGGGGGAGGCCCGGGCCCAGCAATAAGGCTCCTGAGCCCCGCGGCGGCAGCCCCGGTCGGGCGCCTCACTGTGACTCCCACCCCTGCTGGTCAGTAAATTCTCTAGAAAGCTCCAGCCTCTGCCTCTTCTTTTTGCCTCTGACCTAGGGATCCACACATCAGCCATGAGACAGACACTGAGACGTATCTGTCAGTTTTTATTAGATTCTGGATAAAAAGACCCCCAATTCCAATCTGGGAGAGCTCCGCCTTCCGTGGGCTGGGCAGTCCCCCTGCTCCACACATCCTTGGCCATCGCGGATCGGTGGGCTGGTTCTTGGCACCCGGCTTTACGGGTTCACAGACCTCAAGGGCACTGCCCTCCCGAGGACAGCTGGGCTGCACAGAGGCCAGCTCTGCTCATCATGGGCTCGGGTCTGGCCCTGGGAGGGACTGGGCAAGGTCAGGTCCCCTCCCTTGGCCGGGCCCCCTACTGCTGGTCACTGCTGCAGCAGCCAGCATCTGCCTGGGAAGCTGTGCTGCCAGCTTGGCTGCTGCCCCGGGCATGGCGGACACTGCCTGCTCCCCGTCTGGGCCGGGCTTGGAGGGACATGTCTCCCAGGAGTGTCCTGGGGGCGGCTGGGGGGTCAGGGGAACCAACCCCACCTCAAGGCTGCACTGTGCAGCTGGTCCTGAGCAGAGGCCTTTAAATGCTGCCCTGCTGCCCTGGGCCTGAGCAGAGAAAGATTACACGCCGGGAAGGGGGGCAGCTGTGTGGTGTCACCACGTCCGCCGGGAGCTGGGGCTCCTGGGTGTTTCTTCTCAGTGATGCCACCTGGTCAGCGTGCTGCAGGTGCCCAGGCCCGGCTCACTCGGCCTGTGGACTTGGGAGCAGGGGCCGCCGGCTCCCCTCTGCCTTCAGCCACTGCATCTTCTGCTCGTGCTGCTGGATGGCATCCTGGACCCGGGCATCCATCATGGCCTCGGTGAGGACCCCATCCTCAGAGGCATACGCCATGGCCTGGCAGGGGAAGAGAGCACTGAGGCAGGGCAGCAGAGAGGCTGCCCGCGTGGGGGAAGGGCCCCAGCCTGAGGCTCCTCAGGGCCCACCAGTCACCACTCACCCATGTAGGCCAGGCCTGACCCAGGGACAAGGCAGCCTGGCCAGCCCTATCCTTGCTGCACTCGCCGCCCACCGTGGAGACGCCCTCCAGAACCCAACTCCTCTGGGGCAGGGGCAGGTGGGGCAAAGCATGGGCTGCTCTCCCGGGACTGCGCTCAGCTGCAGGAGGGGCCTGGCTGCTCAGCATGAGGCGCACACCGACATGCGGCAGCACACACGTGCTCTCAGGCGACCCTGCAGCCCAGAGTGGCCGCCATCCCTGCAAAACCCGGGGCCCTGCCCGCACCCCTGGCTGGCGCCAGTGCTGGCTGCTCCACTGGCTTTCTCAGTGGCTTTCGAAGAAGTGAAACCCAGAGGCCCGCTGTCAGGGGGCAGCCCAGCCCCCAACCGCAGACCGGAGGGCCCTGCCCCATGGACAGCAGGGCTCAGGGTCAGCAAGCAGCCAACAGGAGAGGCAGAGCCCCCAGGAACAAACTGCCCTCCACGCAGAGCGCCCAGGGCCCCACTGTCTGCAGACGGTCCTCCCAGAACCGCAGGCTGCTGCGGTCCAGGCTGCCGGCGGCGCTCTGCACCCGCGATGCCCAGGCTCCCCGGCCGTGCACGTGGGTGGGGTAACCAAAGTTCAGCTCATCGGGCCCCAGTGTGGCCCACAGCACTTCGGCTGCCAAGGCAGGTCACCTCTGGCCAGGCTGCACGCCTCCTGGGTGACCCCGTGCCCCATCTGCTTCCTGTAACCCAGCCTGTGGCTCTGACATGTGCACTCAAGTGTCCACCGAGCAGGGAGCCCAAGCCAGTCCAGCTGTCTCTCTCTAGGTCCCTAGGAGCCTCAGCCCACGCAGGACACAGGGAGCAAGTTCCCACCATCCGAGATGACCAGTCACTTTGCTCCCCACACGGCTGTCCTCAGCGCCTGGCTGAAGCTGTACAGGGAGGAGCCGTCCCTGAGGCCTCCTGCGAGGAGCCCGAGTTCTGCAAAGCAGCTGAGGAGGTGGGGTGGCAGCCAGAGGGGGTCCCTGATGGGGAGGGGCAGGTAGAGGGTGTGCAGTGACTTTACCACAGAGAAGCCAGGTGGGCACCACAGTAACCAGGGGATCCAGGCCAACATCCCTGTGATGTTGTGTGGATGTCTGGTGCCCCCTGATATGATGTGACCAGAAGGGGCCCTCACCTCTGGTTTCCTCCAAAAACCCACAATCCCATTCCACTCATGAGAAAGCCATCAGACAGACCCAACGAAGGACGTCCTACAGGACTCCTCAAAACTGCCGGGATCGTCAGAAACAAGGGACGTCTGAGAACTGTCACAGCCCAGAGAAGCCCGAGACAGAAGGACTGAATGTCATGGGCATTTGGGTGGGTTCTGGGAGAGATCACGTCTGAGGTGGAATTGAGGGATGTGGTGAGATGGCCACAGTGTGGAGGGAGCTGTGCTAGCCTTGGGACTTTTCTGTGAACCTGGAATTATTCAAAAACAAAAAAATTCACTGAAAAAAAGCTTAAAGGAGAGCTAACACCCATCCTTCTCAAACCCTTCCAAGCACTGGAGAGGAAGGGACACTTCCTGCTCACTCTGAGGTCAGCGCCACCTGATCCTAGAACCAGACCAAACACCACACAGAACCAGACCCTCTGTGAAAACTGATGCAGAACCCTCAACAAAATACTAACAACAAAACTCGGTAGCGTATTGAAAGGATTATACACCACAACCAAGTGGGCATTTTTTCCTGGAGTGCAAGGATGGTTCACCTAGGGAAAAATCAACCTAGGTAAGTAATTAAGAGAATGAAGGACAAAAAGCACTTGATCGTCTCAATTAATACAGGAAAACGTTTGGCAAAATTCAACACCCTTTCTTGATGAAAACAATAAACGAGGGGGAATTCCCTGGCAGTCCAGGGGTTAGGACTCCACACTTCCACTGCCGAGGGCCTGGGTATGATCCCTGGTCAGGGAACTAAGATTCCGCAAGCCGTGCAGTACAGCCAAACAAACAATAAACTAGGAATGCCAGGAAATTTCCTCATCCTGATAAAAGCCATATAACAAAACATCAGCAAACATCATCTCAATGGTGAAAGACTGAAAGCTTTTCCTCTGAGATCAGGATCAAGGCAAGGATGCCCGTTTTCACCACTTCTAGTCAACAGAGCACTAGAGATTGCAGACACACCAATTTGGCAAAAAAAAAGAAATAAAGGACATCCCGACTGGGAAGGAAGAAGTAAAATTAACTGCCTGCAGGTGATATGATCTTATCATATACAGTAAACCCTAAGTAATAAATTCAGCAAAGCTGCTGGACACAAAATTAATGCACAAAACCATTTGTGTCTCTACACAGTAACACAGAATGACTGGAAAAATAATTCAGAAAACAATTCTATTTACAACACCATCGAAAAGAATAAAATACTTAAGAATTACCTTACCTAAGAAGGTGAAAGCCTTGTACACTGGAAACTAGAAAATGTTGCTAGAATTAAGGACATGAAAACATAGAAAAATATCTGCGTTCACGCACTGGAAGACAACGTTGTTATGAGGTCAGTACTACCCAACGCAATCTACAGATTTGACGCAATCCCTATCAAAATTTCAATGATGATTTTTGCAGAAATTAAAAAAAAAAAAAATCCACCCCCAAATTCATATGCAATCTCAAGGGGCCCCAAGCAGCCAAAACAATCTTCAATAAGAGTATGTTGGAAGTCTTACATATCCCGATTTTAAAATCTACTACAAAGCTACAGTGATCAAGACAGTGTGGTACTGGCACTAAGACAGACACAGGCCAGTGGAATAGAACCAAGAGCCCAGAAATAAACCCTCACATATGGTCAAGTGACCTCCAACAAGGATGCTGAGATCACTGAATAGAAACGACAGTCTTTTCAACAAATGGCGCTGGGAAAACTGGATATTCATATACAGAAGAACAAAGTTGTACCCTATATACAAAAATCAACTCTAAATGGATCAGAGATCTAAACATAAAACCCCAAACTATAAACCTCATAGATTAAAAACAGACGGGAGAAGCTTCCAGACATTGGATTTAGCAATGACTTGCTGGCTATGACAGTAAAAGCAGGTGACAAAAGAAAAAGATAAATAAAAATTGGACTTCATCAAAATTAAAAACTTTCGTGCTTCAAAGGACACTATCAACAGAGCAAAAAAGGCAACCCGCAGAAAAGGGGAAAATGTGTGCAAAGTACCATCTGAGACAAGGTTAATATCCGGAATACATAAAGAACCCCTACAATTCAACAAGAAAACCTCAAACAACCCAGTTAAAAAAAGGTCAAAGGACTCGAACAGACCTTTCTCAAAGGAAGACACACACATGGCCAACAGGCTCATGACAAGATGCTCAGCATCACTGATCATCAGGGAGCGTGGATCAACAGCACAGCGAGACACCACCTCACACCCATGGCCGCCATCAAAAAACAGAAACCAGGGCGTCCCTGGTGGCGCAGTGGTTGGGAGTCTGCCTGCCGAGGCAAGGGACACGGGTTCATGCCCCGGTCCGGGAAGATCCCACGTGCCGCGGAGCGGTTGGGCCCGTGAGCCATGGCCACTGAGCCTGCGCGTCCGGAGCCTGTGCTCCGCAACGCGAGAGGCCACAGCAGTGACACGCCCGCGTACCGCAAAAAATAAATAAATAAATAAATGAAAAAAATAAAGTTAAAATGAGTTTTATGTTTTAAAAAAAAAAAACAGTAGGTCCCCATGATAGGGAGCTGCAGGGTAGGCAGCACAGACCTGCACTGACAAAACTATCACATGGGGTGGCAGCTGCAGTGGGGTCCATGCGACACCAGCAGGTGACCTTTGGGGAGCAGGTGCACGGGTCCCCGGCTGCTCAACCCAGGGGGAGGAGGGTGGGCAGGAGCCACCACAGCAGCCCAGCCCCGTGCACCTGGGGCCACAGGGGAGAAACCCCAAGGGGACACACTGACACGTCCTGTCCCAGACAGTGGGACCCCCAAGGCATTCTGGCCCTCTCTCGCAGGGGGTGGGGGTGGGGACTAGCAGACGTGCCCAGGGCCCAGCTGCCCAGGGGCTGGACACACAGGGAGAGCACCCACGGGCTCTGGGCCTCCACATGCAGATGCTCACCCTCACATGCATGTGCGGGGGCCACTACCCTCAGCTCCCCACACGCAGGCACACACAAGCCTGTCCCCTGGTTCCCCAACGAGCAGGGAGGGCAGGGCAGTGCGGGGGAAGGAAGGTGCGCCAGGGCGCTCCCCACCACTGGGACTGGGCGCCACTGGGACTGAGCCTTTGTCGCCCCTGAGCTCACGCTGAAGCCCTAACCCCCAGTGTGGCTGCACGTGGAGATGGGGCTTCTAAGGAAGCAATTCAGGTTGGGTGAGGTCCTAAGGGTGGGGCCCTGATCCTACAGGACTGGCGTCCTTGCTCGAAGATACCCCCAAGGGCTCTGCACAAGCACACAGCAAGAAGGCGGCTGGCTGGCAGCCAGGAAGTGGACCCGCTTTGGAACCCCCCTCACTGGCATCCTGATTTGGAACCTCCAGCCTCCAGAACCATGAGATGAATGTCTGTTCAAGCGCCTGGCTGTGGCATTTTGTCACGGCCGCCCAGGCTAAGACACACTGTTCGCCACTCTGTTGGTCATGGAAACAGCCAACCTCGTAAGGCCTGGTTCCTGAGTGAGGCCAGCCTGGAGCAGGGCACCCTGTGACTCACATGACAGAGTTTGTAATCTGGGGCTGTCTGTTACAGCAGCATGACCTAGTTCATTCTGACTAATACAGCCCCCCTGTGTATCTGGGCAAGGACGTTCAAATCCAAGCAGATGTCTACTTAGCATTCGTGCTTAGTTAACAGTGGCCAGGTTGTCACGTGGCCACAGACATGAGCCACTCAGCACCCTCCACCTGGCAAGGACCATGGGGAAACTTGTTCTGAATGGCTGCACCCAAGGCTCCTGGGGGTCAATGGGCTTCCCTGCCCTGGGCACCCACGGAACCACTGCTGGGATGTTTCAGATGAAAGCCTGGGTATTGGGAATGACAAGGGCCACTCTGGCCTGTGTGCCCTGACCACCTCCCGTGGCCCAGCTGTCCTCAGGCCCTCAGGACTCAGCAAACCCGTCCAAAAAGCCAGAACACCTGAGGCCTTCACGCTGCCGCAGACAGTCCTGAAGGCAGCAGTCTCCCTCTAGAGGCTGGGAAGGAGACGCCCGACTCCTTATCAGGTCAGTCGCCTCCTGGCTCCTCACGTCCTGCGCCCTCGGATGAGCCCACCGACAGCTCACGATGCTCCATCCCTGGCCCAGGCTGTGTCCCCCGGACCCTCCACCCATCTGCAGTTTTCTGTGCCAACTGTCCTGGGCCCCAGCTTGGGACAAAGCCCAGGTTCCTAAAACACTGGGCTTGATGACCACCGGACATGCTGCTGATTTGAGAGAGCCACGTCTGACCTGGGTCAGAATGACACTGGGAAGGACCATAACGTGCGAAGCCACGGACGGCCCTGGCCCATCCTCCCTGCTGTTGGGGGGCAGAGGAGGGTGGTGGCGGGAAGGGAGGGCATCATGTCACGTCTGTGCAGAAAATCACTCAGAAACACCCTGGGGGGGGGAGGTGCCAGCCCAGTCACCTTTTGACCACTCTGAGGGTCCCTGGCTCGCTCGGGTTCTGGCCTGCGGGGCGCATCCCCAGCTCACCTGCCATGCCACAGCAAGCTGGGAGATCTCCCGGCCGGACATGCCCTCCGTCAGCCGTGCAACCTCTGAGCACTTCTCCCCGTAGTCAAACTGGGCCAGCTTCAAGCGCCTGGTAAGGGTCCCAAGTGATGCCTGGGCGCCCCCAGCACCCGGGCCAGAGCAGAGGCCCGTGAAGGACCCAGGCTCCCACACAGATGGACAGCAGGGGCCCGTGCTGGGAAGCCCCAGGCGGGACATGTCCAGCCCCCTCACTTTAATGAGCTACCCCCTGCCCAACGTCCACTGCTGGGGCCAGGTCTGGCCACTCCACCTTCCTACCCTGCTGGGCATATGTCCCTTCCTCATGGAGCCCAAGATGGGGCCCGGGCGGGGCACATGCTGGGTTCAGGGGCGGCCGTGGGGCCACTCAGGAGGTGGGAGAACGGAGGAGCTCCGGGGGCCTGTTCCCAGCTCCACCGCCTGCCTGGGGGCAGGGACCCCGCCCAGCACTCAGACAGCAGTCGAGCTCCTAATCCCGCCCCCGCAGGCGGATGCCAGGCCCAGTCAGTCCTGGCTAAAGGCCCAAGAGAGCCCGCTCAGACTCCTGTGAAAAAGTTCTCAGAACCTCAAGCTGCATGCAGTGTCCAGGCTGCAGCTGGGCTAGGATGCGCCATCGGGAGCTGGAGTAGGGTGTGGAGGAGGGGGACTGGGGCCAACCAGGGGCAAAAGGGAAAAAGACCCAGAGAAGAGAGCTTGGGGGCAGCTGACAGACGGGGGCAGGGACAGGTAAAGCCCTCCGCAGCACAGAAGACGGCTCGGCAGCGCCAGGCGGGAACCAGGTCGGTGGGGCTGAGGTCTGGTCCCCGGAGAGGGTTACAAATAGACCAGCGCTGGCTTATCTGGAACGCTCCCGACAACAGTGAGAGAGGGCCTGGACGAGCAGGGAGGGCAACCCCGACCTGGTGGGCCCCGCTGTGTGCTGGGGAGGGGCCCCAGAGGGAGGCTCAGCAAGGCCAGAAATGGGCCGGCACAGCCTGCCACTGCCAGGGCCTGACTGTGGCCTGGATCTGAGCGTTTCAAAGGCAGGACGGGGCAGCAGGGCCTCCAGCGATGGGCGGTCATGACCCCACACGTGAAACCCAGGGGCAGGGGCACGGGCAGGGAGCGGCCGTGGCGGCGGGGACACTTACTGCTTTCCTTCTGTGGCTGGTTTAAGAACATACTTGTCAAAATACATTCTCACCAGGCGCTCCCGTGCCTCTCGCCGCGGCAGGTCAAAGCCAACCATCTCGCCGATGCGGTCATTGATGGCCCAGTCTAGCTGCTCGGGCTGGTTGGTGGCCAGGACCAGCATGAATCTGCAGCCGGCACACGGCGAGAGCTCAGGGCTCAGGGCCAGCAGAACCTGCCGCGCGGCTTCCTCACACGCAATACCCCGCCGCACAAGCGCTGCCCTCTGCCTTCCATCCCTCCCCGTCTTGCCCCAGCGCATGCCTCTCCCCGACTGGTGGCCCAGCCATGGAAGCCTCCCTGTGTGCAGGAGGGACAGGGACCCAGGGACCCAGGTCTGAGACAGACCCCTGCCCCTCCCACACCAAGTGCTGGGGTCTTGAAGCCTGGGGCTCAGCTAAGCAGATGTGCCAACTCAGCAGGACTTCGACATGCCCCTGGGG